TTCTTCAGTAGAAGCTTAATGAAGAGTGTTTATGCCATAATTGCTATAGCAAGGTTAACTTTAAAAGATACCATACTTTTAAATACGTTGACTATCTCAACATCGATCATACTCTCAACCGATGACAACAATACCAACCATATATTACCGAGTGCCAAGATTCGAAGTCCAACTCAATTATCGGGATCTTGTAAGTGCTTCGTGAATTCGCGTAGAGAGTGATCCAAAACCAACCTTGAGATTGAACCCTCTTGATTAGTTATTTTTTGGCTAAAGTGGGATCGATTCCGGTTAATCATGTAAATTTTGATGGAGCTTGCTTAGGTGAACTATATAAGTAAACGAGTCTTTGTTTCGGAAAATGCTAACGAGCCTCATATTCTTCAAGGATAAGTGATGATAAGTCTACGCTTTCGAAGGTGAAGTAACAATAATTCGAATCCCAATGTCCTATCATGGCTTAAAAACATGCATTTTAGGCCTTAATCTTACTCAAATAAGTAATGTCACCATATATCTTTTGGAAGTTGGATTTGCATTGGGTGTGAGCATTTTCCAACAACTAAGGATTGGACTCGTATTGACTATCTTATCGATCAACTTAGCTTTTTTTGGCAACTTCGATATAAAATTCAAGGGTAGACAATCTCCTTCATCATTTTGGGCCCGCTCAAATTTGATCCTAAAATCCTTAACTTTGTTTCTAATTTCTTCTATCGTGATTCAATGCGAAGGATAACCTAGAAAACTAAAGGTGAGTAACGATATCATTTGAAAATAATTCGTTCCTTAATTAAGTTAACCTTAGTAAACATGATCTAACGTTTTTATGTTTGGGCAAAGTTTGTCTAGTCTTAAGATTTTCAAGTTTCTAAAATGTCTAAATTACCAATGGGGTAATTCAACCTCTAACCTTATGCACATGAAGGTAGGAGAAGGTTATTCCATCATTTCCTATGCATAGGGCAAGTTATAGTCCAAACAAGAGTTTAAAAGAGCATCGGTAGACTTTCATTATACTCACCTTTAGATATCTCTATCTAAATCATATCAAGGTTTCGCTCGAGCCCGTAGCTATTATAGGTTTTCTTTGTACTTTGTGCAACGAGTTTAAAGAAAAGGCATACAACCCGAGTTCAAAAATAAATGTATAGCGAGAAAATAAATTATAAAAATTTAAAGATATATAAATATAATAAAAAAATAAATTATAAAATAAATCAATAAAAATAAATACAGGAGATAAATCAAATAGACTAAACCTATGGCAGAGTCGTCATTCCGTCGCTACCCGACGTTGGACAAGACTCTTGAAAAAAATATTTTAGATATTAATTATTTTTTCAGAATTATTTACAAGTTTGGAGTTGCCACCTAGTATTGAAGGAACTAAGAACATAAAATTAGCACTCGAATCGGAGATTCTAAGATAAGGAGTTGGTTACGTTTTTTAAAAGACTTCTAATCACCCAAAAATGCCATTTCGCGAAAGGTACTATTTTTGGGTTTAGTCCTAAATTTATCTCCTAAAATTTTTTATTTGTGCCAAATTATTTTTTGATTTGAAACTCTAATTTTTCAAGCTAAATTAAATTTTTTAGTTTTGAGCGTGACATCATATTAAAACGATCATCCGGTGACACGTTGATTCAAACAATAGATTCACTTTAAGCCTCGATACAACCAAGTATGTCGAAGAACATCTTGATTATATGATGTTTTTTGGTAACGAAAATCCCTATTATATAGGAGACTTCATCAAGAATTCTTATTTTTTGGTTAAATGACAGTTCCTATAAGATAAAAGATTTCGTTGAAAATTTTTATTATTTTTATATTTTGTCAAACGAAAGTTCCTATAAAATAAGAGACTTCATTGAAAAATTTTTTTTATTATTTTTTTTGTCAAACAACAATCCTTATCGGATAGGAGACCGTTGAAAATTTTTTATTATTTATTATTTTATTTTATTATTTGTTAATAAAAAAATTATTGTCGATTCTTAAAAAATTAGGAGACTCGATAATTCTCTTATAAAATAATTATCTAATCCAATAACTAATGTAAATTTTAAAATTTAATAAATTTCAAGAAAAAAATGTTTAAAATATCGAATCTACATTAATTTAGAAAATAAAAATATAATGAGAAATAAAAAAAATACTCAAGCTATAGTAAATAAAACCAAACTATTAAAAGGAATCTTTTTTTTTTTTTTGCCCCAAGCCCATTGGCTTATGCCTTATTTTCTCCTTCCCATTTCTTTTCTTTTTTTTTTCCTATTTTTATCACTCTTTTTTATTCCTTCTTCCTTATATATATATATATATATATTGGTGAAGTTGGACTAGTTCCAGCTTCCCGATTCCTTTATTATTATTATTATTATTATTATTTTATTATTATTATTATTTTTTGTGGAGAAGAGTGAGGGGGCAAAAGCTGGATCAAAACCAGCATCTGCCTCTTTTCCATCTTTTTAGCCAGTCAGTCCCGACTTCATTTAGCGTGGGTTGGGCCACGTTTCCTTCTTTTGTTTTCTTTTCTTTCTTTTTTTACACTGAACTGGGCTAAGACCTAGAAACACGACCCAGCTACCCTTTTTTCGATCAAAATAGCCTTTTTATTTAGTTCTGACTCTTTCTTTCTCTCACACATGTTCTTGATGTTATTCATTTTCTCTCTCTATTTTCTAGTTTTTTCTAGAATTAAAACCCCATTTCAAAAAAATCATTTTGCTAGCATATTATAGTCATACTCTTGTTTCAATCACAAACTAACAATTAAAGATTAAACGTGTAACTAACAAACATTTGAAATGATGGACAACAAAATCAAAATTGGAAGAAGAAGAAAAGGAAATAACACAAACCTGGAGTGCCTAAATTGGTGATCATTATTCTAAAAAGATGAAAGTTGAAACTCAAAATGGTTTCGGGAGGTTTAAAGGACCATCTATTGGTTTGGAAATGCCTGGATAAGATTCAAAGCCAAGAATTGAATCTTGTAGTTGAAAAAAAGCACGAACTCCAACCTAGAAAATTTTGAAGAACACCAGAAGCTGCCTAGAATGTCAAAAGAGAAAACCCAGCAAGTCCAAAATCAAGCCTCCAAACCCCGCCAATGAGGTTAAGAAACTTGTTATGATTGACACTAAACCCAGAAGCAAACGAAAAAAATAAATTAAAGAAACCAAAGGTGAATGAACTAAAACCCATAGATGATGAACACTAAAACACTACACAGAAAAATCCAAAAAATTGCTACTGCTAAAGATAAAAAATCTACCTTTCTCTCTTGATTTTCACTCTCTCTTAACCCATAATTTTTTATATTTTCTTCCTCCCCTTTCTTCTAGGCCAACGCAAGCCTTTTTATAAGCACAAATTGGCTCGAATCTCTCCTCTAGAATCAACCCATTCACACAAGATCCAACTGTTAAGGCAAAGAATTTGCCTTTGATCAGATAAAACTAAGGCATCGATTGCATTGAGGCATGATCCTTGGCTGGTATCAAATCCAGTTAAGGATTCTGGTGAATGCAAATCAATCCAAAACTTAATCTTAGGAAGATTTCTCTCCTGGGAAAGATTGAGAAACAATCCCAAGAGAGATTGTTGGGTTGGAGCGGATGACATGTAGTCCGCCAGGCTCTAGTCCTATCGTTCGCCTCACAATTTCAATTTAGTCCCTACAAATTTCAATTATCCACAATTAGATCTTTTTGTTGTGTAATTTCAGTCTCTGTAAAATATGATTTTATCAATTAAGCTCCTATAGATGTAATTTAGGTTTCGAATTTCTCAATTGATTCGATTGAAATCCTAATTACTTCAATTACATTTTCCTTTAATGCAATTATCCCCCTAAGTGTAATTCATGAGTTTTTTTTTTTTTTGGATTTTCTATATATTTCTTTTTGTATTTTCTTTTTTGTACTTCTTTTTCCTCCTTTTTAGAAAATAACTAAATTCTTGAAGTAACCAAAATTAAAATTGTGATTTTTTTTTCTAATTATGACAATAACCATTGGAGATAAAATAAAGAAGTGGAGCAATGAAAAATGACATAAAATAAAGAATAAACTAAAATAATAAAAAAAAACTAAAATAATAATAGAAATAAAATGAATAAAATTATACAAAAAAAATATAACCCAAATTTTGTGTGATGACATTCTTCATCGTTGAAACTTTTTATTTCAACTTTGATACTATAGATTCGTTAACATTAATAGCCCTTCCATCCATCATAGATGCTAACAAAGACATTCTGATCATGTTAAATGTACATGTGTTCAAATTTTATCAGACATTGTAGGTCCCGCTTCCATTTTTGCCTTTTCTTTTACTTGTCTTTTATTATTTTTTTCAAAAAAAAAAAAAATTTTAATTTCAAAAATTAAAACCAAAATAATATAATCATTTATCAGAGTTTATTTAGTGGTTTTAATAGATATTATTATACCATTAAAAAGTTGAAATTAACACCGAGTTGCCGTTTGGGCTTGTAGCTAAGGCTTAAGAGTCGTCACTCCAACCAACATGGTTGAAAATTCTCTTTGGCACAAGAAAAATAAGAAAGAAAAAGGAAGTGACTGACATGTCACATGATGCATCCATAGCCAATTCATCCAACCAAGGGTTCAAGCTTATTTGATAGAAAACACCAACTCATAAAAAAATAAACAAATAAATAAATACATAAAAGTGAAGAGGAAAAATATTCATGACATTTAAATATCACAAGATAATTGACTGATCATACAGATTTTCTAGAACTACAACTTGATTCTTCATATATCTTTGATAATTTATTTTAGATGATATATGCTACTGATCATATATATATATATATATATATATTTATTTTAGTATATGGAATGGAACAACATCACGTATATATGCATAGTATTGCTCATAACTGAATACAAAGCATATATAGTTGCTAATTACTTCGATTTACCAAGAATAATTATGATATTTGGCAAGAAGGGTAGGGAACACCACAAGCGGTAGCAACCTTTCTAGCACCAGGAGCTGCAATATACAGCTTGAGGCTTGAATCCTTAAGGTATCCACAAAAACAAGGCAGCTGCTCCTTCAGTTGGCCGCAGCAAGCGGTAGATGGTGGTGCAGAGGACATGATTGCTCCTAGGCATGGGCTCACCAGCCCCGGGTTACATGTCACTGCTTGTGACACCTGTGCTTCATCAAATAACATCACCACCACCACCGCAATTAAGAAGAAAGACACCTTCTTCATCTTCAATAATCTTGTTATTGCTATATATTCTTTCTCTTCTCTCAGTGTACAAGAATTATGCATAGGGGCCAAGAGTTTGTCCAAGAATTTATGGAATGGTGATGCTGAATCAAGAGTTGACCCCGGTCAACAAGTCAAGTAAATTGGTTCTGCCCATCAACCCATATCTTACGCAGTATCTGAACCTAGCTATTTCTTTGTTTTCAATTGCTGCCATGTTGTCTCAGACGTTATCCTAACAAGTCAAGTATGTGGAGCCATATTGGCCCTACCTATCGAACAATATCGTCCTGAGTATCTGAACCTAGCTGTTTCGTTCTTTTCAATCGCTGTCAGACATTACCTGTTGACTCAGGCATTGTCCTTACTTTCTTAGCAACCACATATATTTATTATTATTATTATTATTAAGAACTACTTTTTTGTTATACTTTGACCGTGTTTCTTTCAGAAAAAATTAGTTTCAAAAATTTATTTTTTTTATTTTTTATTTTTTTTATGTTTGTTTTATATTTTTAAAATAGTCAACGAAATTTGATTTTCAATTAACAAAATTTAATAAATTATTTTTTAAAAAATATTTTTTGAGTTAAAAAAGAATAAAATATTTTTCTTTCTCTCATGAATCGTCTCGCTCTCGTGTTATTCACTTCTCACTCGATATATTTTAATAATTTTTTTCTCTCGTCTCTTTTGTATTTAAAATATATCAATTAATTTTTAATTATTTCTTATCAATTATTATTAATTATTTAATTATTTTTTCTCTATTTCTGTTAACATTTATTTTTTTATTTATAAATATAATAAATATTTTTAAAAACCATTTTTACAAATTAAAATTATTTTTATAATAAATATTTCAATGATTTATCTTTATTTTTTTACCATCATCCAAAACACCACCTAAACTATATTTAAATAATTAAAAATGATTATTACAAGATTAGAATCATTTGTAAAAAAAATTGAAAATAATTAATTCATTAATAATAAATACATTATTTTCTCAACACTATTCATTTACAACTAAATCAATAATTGTAACTAATTTTAATCAGTTGTAAAATTTTATTTGGTAATTGTAGTCAATAATTAGTTATAAATTATTTCAACATTAATCTTTTGAAATCAAATGAATAATTATCTACAAATGATAACTAATAATTTGTAAAATTATTTTTTAGACTAAATTATGAGTTCAATTTCCAAGAAAAGAAAACGAATTCTTAATTAAGTTACCAAAATAATAATGCTAGGATTACTTAGAAATTGTTTTACTAAATGTGAATATTGACTTGATTTTGTTCCAAGTAGTTTTTATGAATTAGTTTGATGATTAAAAATATACATTTTATTTTTTAATTTTTTAATTTTAAATCTTAGAGTCGTATTTATAAAAATTTATTAAATTTTTCTAAATGCATCGTATATTGTGAGATAATGAATATACCTTATTGAAGGTTTCTCAAAACTCGTTAATGTAACAATCACAATCTTTTTTTGTATTTCGAGTTTTACGTATCAAACAAACATTGAATACATGTTTCAGCATTTTTTTTATATAATTGTCCAACGTAAGAAAATATTTTTTGAAAAACAATTTTTTAAAAAATAAAATTTTCAGAGTTATTTTTTCAATTGAAAGTTATTTTTTGTCAAACAAACGGAACTCACATCGATAATTATTTTCTCAAGGACCTCTACTAACTTGGCTTTGTTTCATCTATTAAGATATAAATGATATTTTGCAAAAGTTTTCTTGTTTACGAAACAGTACAATTGGATCGGTTTTTATATAATAAGATTAAGTTTATTTTCTAGATCAAACAAAAGATCGATATCCTCCACAAGTGAAAAAACAAAACACAAAAATATATGAGATTCTAATTGTTTGAACACCAACATGCCAAAACCATGAATCAACGAGTGATATAGTCTTGTTGATTTTAAATGTTTATTGTATGGTAATAATAATAAAAAAAAATGCTGAACCATTCCTAGATAGTTTACCTAATATCAATCGCAAAAAATACTTAGTTTTAATACTAAAATATTGCCATAATGAATTAATAATGCCTTTGCCGTTTGAAAAAAAAAAAAAAAGGAAACAAAGAAGGAAGTTAAAAAAAGAAGAAGAAAAAGATTTGATCTCATTTACCATCACTCAATTAATTAGCTTTATATTCTCTCATCACCGAACTTCGTTTATTGCCTTCTCATAAAATAGAGCTCCACTTTGCTTTTATTTGTAATTTTATTAGGTTAACTTGATTATCACCATTTTGAATGATCAATATATTTTATACCCCAATTATATTTTCTTATAATTTTAATGAAAATAGCTCTATTTAGTATGTGTTTGGTATTGCTGTTGCGATAGCTTAATTATAAGCTGCCGCAATACCAAACTCTAACATAGCCATTGGAGAGTTCTGTATATCTTTAAATGAGAGTAAATCTATGTATCTTTTTCTAATTTTTAATCATGTAATGAAAAATAAACTGTAAAATAACATTTTTTGAGTTATTAAATTTTTAAAATAATAGAATTTTTATTTATCAACTTTATTTTAAGCCTCATTTATTTATTGAAAAAAAAAACTCTATTAGAAAATAAATGAGATTATTATATTTGGTTGTGTAAAATATAACTTAATTATTATTTATTTTATAATTAATATCACAAGTTTAAAATTAAAAACAATAAAAAATGAGAGTGAGAAGTGTTATAGAATCCAAAATAAACAACAAAGAATTTTTAATATATAAAATAGGCAATGAAATGTTGGCTGTAGAGACAGGCTGCTCGTTTTTTTTTTGTGGTGGGTGATAAGACAGAACAAAATATAGAAAATAAATAATTTACTTTTTATACTGTTATTTCTTGTGCATGTTATGGTTTCCATACGGTTTAACCAATTTTTTTCTTATTTTTTAAATATTTTTATTTTCTCTACTCAATAAAAGATATTTTAGTTTCAAACAAAAATATATACATTAATTTTAATAATTTTTTAATCTAAATTGGAATACTTGAAGAATTTTTTTTTTCCAATTCACTACATTATGCATAATTAAGTTTTTAATAATAAATTTTTTTAAAAAATTAATATAATGACTGTTATACATATAAAATCAAATAAATATTAGTTTGTTATTGAACACAAAAAATCATATATAAAAAAAATACTGTCTGGGCTTAGAGGCCCAAGTGAGCCTGGGCTGCAGTCAAAGCCTAACCATGGAAAAAGAATACATGGACGGCTCATACTTATCCTCCTCGCAAATGACACATTGTTGGGATCGTTTTTTATCTTGGGTTAGATGGATTTGCCCCCATGGAAATATAAAATATAAATAGCAATTAGTGCGAAGGTTCATCAAAAGTCAAGATGGCCGAGTTGGTCTAAGGCGCCAGTTTCAGGTACTGGTCCGAAAGGGCATGGGTTCGAATCCCATTCTTGACATAAGTTTTTGTGGTCTTTCAAATAGTTATTCATAACATGATAATCACTCATCTGATCATCTCTCATGTTTCAATTCAAGTTTACATATTTGAAAGATGTTTTTTTTTTTAAAAAAAAAGAATTTGACAATTAATCTAAATATAAAAAACCCTAAGTTTATATTTTCAACAATGAAATTCCCTTCCTCGGTCGCTTGAGACAACTGTTCTACACAGCTTGAGTCACCAGAGGTTTCTGATTGAATTGATGGAAAAATAAAATAATCTGGTAGCCTTAGAATGATATTGCTTAATTTTGCAATTTGGGACTTAAATTGAAAATTTTATTGACTGGATAACATAATCTTGTCCCCTTGAACTTAAGTGGAAAAGCAGGATTAACAAATACTTCTCTACCTACTCATTAATTTATTAGACAATTCTCCTTTTCTTTTGAGAACTAATATTAGACATTTCCATAGTTTTTATACAACTAATCAGATGATTTCTTTAATCTCGGCAGAACAATTTAATGCTTCATTTCTATCATTGTAAAAAATATATATTATCAATTTAATTTATTACATTTCAAAAAATAAAAATTGTGAAAGGCAATACGCTGACGTTTGGTTTGTATTAGCAAATACTTGGAAAATTAATGTTTTTCAGTTTTCCTATAGGAATAAAAATTTGAATATCTTTGCTTTGCATACAAATCCATATGCACAATTTATACTCAATATCTACGCTAATTTTGTATTAGCAAACAAAATAGTTCTCACAATTGCAGAGCAACATGCAAAAACAAAAATAAGTACGAATATTTTTATATATGCCCTTTCGTCTTGACTCTAGAGTCTTCAGGTTAACCTCTATAGATACTGACATTTTAACAGACTGTTTCGATATCCTTTGATTTAGAGCTAGAAGAGTCCAGTTATTAATAATTATTTTTAGATAATAAAAAACACACATCTGTCAGCGAAAATAGCCAATATATATATATTTTTAATGAGTTAATATTACTTAAAAGACTTAAAAGACAAAGAAAAGTTGTTTAGTTACCGGATACAATTGCTAGGAAAAAAATGATTGTAAAAGGTGTGTTCATGAAAGAAAATAACTCTAATAACAAAGTTGTCTTAATTTATTTATTTAGAAAAACATAGTACCTCAACCCAAGAGGCAGTAGATTAATGCGGTGGAGTTCGGCATCAGGCAGATGGAGGGTGATCTTCGAACTTCCAAGCCCAGAGCTCTTTCTTTTGGGAAAGGTTGAACTGTGATTTTCATTTATTTGACCTCAAAATTTAGCACATATCACTATGTGGCAGCTGTCAGTAGGTCCTCCCATGTGGTTAATTTTTCTCTAGGCTTGCGTCTCAAATTCCCAAGCCTCTTCTCTTCAGAGTCGATCTTTTCCCAGCCACTAAACGGTACAACTCTTACACTTCTATTATCAAGTAACTGAAGGAGTCCCTGTCTGCCAGGCTTCGGTAAGGTAGATGGGGATGCTATCACTCCTTGATGAACGTCTTCTGAGATACTTGCCACCTATCACGCAAAAGCATAGTGAGTAAAGCAAGGCTTCTAAATAATGAAAATAACAGGGATGCAAGAGACGACTTACAGTTTCTTCAGCACAGTGGAGATTTGTAGCAACAATCCCAGTTGGTCCCCTCTTCAACCACCCACATACGTACAAACCTTTCTCAAGCAGTGCAGGATCTCCTGAAGTATCAGCAAGAACTCGACCTCGGATATTTGGAACCACACCTGGGAAAGAAGTCATGAGAAGGGGGTGGCAAATCAGTTTATGCAATGTGGCATATTTAGAAACATTGGTAGGGAAAGAATTGGGCAGAAGACTCCCCCAACCTCAAAGTTATAAGTGTGGGTTTTGGAATGGACAGATCAGGGCCTATTGATTCAAATAGAAAATATCTGAGACAAGCATTATGGTTCTCGTTTGCTCAAATTTTAAGAGGTTACTTCTAGGATTTTGTAGACATGTTGAGCTAAATAATTAATCAAGCAACTTTGAAAGAAAACCTCAAGCTGGTTTCAAGAACATTTTACACAGCCAGCTTTTTACAGCTTTTCATTGATAAAATAACACAGCCAGCAATAATGAGCAGAAAGGGTAAACCATCCTTTCCTTCTTTTTTTTTTCTTTTCAAATTACCTTTTTCATGATCAAATGGTAAGCCATCAACTGGTACAGATTTGTAACCAATGCTCTTTAGCACCAACCTGCAAACAGAAAGGGTACATTGCAAAAATGTGATCAGTAGATCATAACAGTGATTTGTTTTGATGGATTAAAACAACTTTGCTCCTTTACAGACTTCTGAATTCCTTTATCATGCAGCTGTACATGAATCACATCACCTATGACAATTTAATTTACAACTATTCACATTTTTGGTCAAGCACTGACTGAACCTGTCCTGATAATGGTGCTCTGAGTGAAGTAGAAAGCAATTGTATTTATATCAGAAACAAGCCCATAAACAGCACTGGTTAACGTGCTAAAATATATAACCAGCCAAGCTTGACGAACAAAAAAAAAAAAAAATTACCCGCAGTCAAGGTCCTCATATAGTCCAGTTCCCACAGCAATCTGCTTCCCAGGGCTGACAGCTGCAAAATAGATCAAGCAAAATAAGCATTGGCATAGCTGGACAAGGACATTGAATAGTGCAATCTTTGTGTTGACAGCTCAGAAGTTCCTCTTTTCTGTGACACTTCAAAGAATCTCATTTGTAATTATAATTGTGTTAAAAAGTTACATGCTAATTTTCTCAATTGTAAGACAAGATCTCATTACTTAACACCATCATTCTGAATATTATGATGAAACAAACTTTTATTTTGAATGTGTGCTAGATACATTAGGTAGAATAATGCTGTGATGCAAGGTAACAACATCCAACAACTAAGAGTAGAGAGTTTTCTAAACATCGAAATAAAGAGGCACGCATGAAGACTCATATACAAAAACCATTTATAGAGAGGAAACGTGCCTTTAAGAATTGTCTTCTCAAAACAAACACCAGCAACACGACCACTATCGTCACCTGAATCCAGAAACCTATCAGGTTTCCGGAAGAAAACAAAGTGAAGCTCACGCTGACTTGAACTGGGATGAGAAGGTGCTGAAGCAGCAGCTTTTGAGAGCAACTCATAAACCCTCCTCTGAATTCGATTGTTTTTCAGCTCTTCCTTTGCCAATGACAGCATAAAGACACAGAACCATTAATAAGAAAGACTAGGTGCTAAAAGTATAAAGATGAAACCCAAATGACAGGAGAATTTAATCAAGTTGGGTCCTAGATGTATTGTTTGACCAATTTATAAGGCCTAGGCTAGAAAGACAAAAAGCTTGATCATTTTTTGAACAATATTTCACCTTTTCTTTCTCAATCAAATCTGGATCCTCAAATTATTCAAGTAGGAAGCACTCGGTTATGTCCTAATATATTTTCCTCCTCTAACACAATTATAGATTGTGCCTTGAAGGGCCACAAAAAGACACAGCAAGGAGACAATTTTTTAAGCTCAATCTTAAATTTGAGCAGCTATCTACAGGAAGCAGTCACAACAAGATAGATTCCCAGAAATGGGTTACATGTCAGAAAGCATACTTTATCAAACATCTATAGTGAAGAAAATTGAAGCATGAGCATTAATTTTATCCCTGAACTGACCTAATTTCAGACTTCTACAACTACACACAAAGTGGAACCTAGTTACAATGTGTGGGTTAACTGACTATCAACCTATCCTCGGTTATTCCACAATATCCTTTTTTCTGCTGTCAAAAACATAAAAATATCCAGTATTTAGTCAGAAACTTGCATGCATAGATATAAAAAAGAACCTAATTTTTACTTTTAGCCATCTTGACAGTTGTACAATATTTTGTCATTCCCATAGCCATCCCAATTTAGTCGACCACATCCTTCCACTTCTTTTTTCCAAAATTGATCCAGGAGCTACACAGTTAAGTTTGATTTTCAATTCTTCAATTTGGATGGAAAGTAAATAACATTTCAAAGTGTGATTTCTAACTTGTAAACCAAAGACATGAGGAGATTGCTCGATTACACTAGTACAAGTGCAATCTGGGTCATTTCAGTATTTTAGATAAAAAATGCATTAAGCGGCATTGCAAGAATAAGAAAATAATGATGATGATGATGATAACATTCATTATGATTTATTCCACTAGGAAAAAAAAACAAAAAACAAATAAAGCACCATGCCCATGAACTGAGCATATAGATGAATGGAGTTGAGAAATACCTCATCTTCTGGACTTTTACGTAAATCAACTTCCTTGATGTGAATAGACATATCTTTAATACCTGCAGCAATAACATTATATCAGCAGTGACCTTCTAAAAGTAAGGAAGTAAAACCAGAAAGATCTCTGACTGAGCATATTAACAAAGTCAGATTGCATATATTCAGCAGTAAATTAATTTAGCATCAACTACGACCATTCAGATAAAATATGCATTGATATGTGCCACACAATCAATCAGAGAACATCTATATGCCATACTTTAGAGAAGCATATGTTGTTCAAAATATATAACTGGTTGAATGCTGATTTTTTTGTCCTGCACATAGATTGATATACATAACAGTCTAAAATGAAGCATCACATTTGAAAAAAAATCATTCAGTTCACTACTTTAGAAATGAAATAGGTGTCTAAAGTAGGTAAAAGAACAATACTTTAGACCCATCATTGCTTTTGCAGCAAGCCTTAATAATCCACATACGACACCCACAAATATAAAGATGGATACAGGTACATAGTCACATGCTAAAAATTACCAAGAATTTCTCGTAACTCTTTTGCAGTACAAGCTGCTTGGGCTGGTCCACGTCTTCCAACTAAATATACTTTCCTGCAATTATGTCATAACATTAACACAGCGAACCAATAAAAAAAAATAGCAACAGATCCATCCGATCCCTGTCAAGTAGTTGAATAAACAACCTTATTGAGCTCTGCTCCAGAGCTGCCAAAGCGTGACTGGCAATATCAGTTGTTGCCAATACTGATGTTGATTGTAGGAGGATACGGGCAACATCAAGAGCTACATTTCCCTGAGAAATAAACAGAGAATTGTCACAGAAAAGTGCGGTATACATCTTGGTATTATAGACTTCCCTGAAAATGCGGGGTGAACTATAAAATTCAGGGATAAGGCATATAATTTAGTGACTATTTAAATGTACATTTAATTATACTGAATTTCTGGCATACTTAGAAATGGGCAAACACCTAACAGGCATGAGATGAAAAAGAAGAGCTTAATATCATCTATAAAATTCTGAGATGTTAAACATGTTGAATGCATATTTCAAATTGATCAAGCCTACGCTATCACTTATGATGCTAACAAAACTAAGCACCCTTATGGAATGGGTTACCCCCAATGGCACAATTTTCCATTTAAACAAACCAAAGAACTTCCAGCATCAGAATCTAAGCTAACTGACAGACCATGCATGCGTAACGCTAACCTGGTTACAAGAGAAAGGGAAAAGATAAAGTATCAAACTTACTACAAACAGAATTTTATTCAGATTGCAAGGAACTTGTGCCATTTGCATCTCCCAGCAATAATAATAATAATAAATAAATAAATTGCAGGTTTAACCCCTTTAAAGGCATTTAACATTGTAATGATTCAGTAATTATCTAATTTATCTTACTTTCAAAATAATGTATTAGCATCATCATGTCCTAACTTGTTTACATTGAGCAAATCTATCATTTAATTACCTAAGATTGGTTGCAAAATATAGAACAGCCAAATGACAGTCTAAGAGGTCACATTGACCCCATCTTAACCAATTTCCTTAGTTAATAGCATCTCCCCCGTTCCAAGATTATGCCTATCTAATTGCTAATCAACTTGCATATCAAATTCAAAGTTTTGTAGTTTGGTCAGCCCTAAATCATCATTGAAATCCTTAATGCAACTTTGATGAAGAAAATAGCAATATTCTTACTACCTGGCCCAGAATAACAGCTGTATCGGTGCTCTTCAAATCAGGATTCAAGTTTTTTCCATCTGGGTGCCCATTATACCACCAAACAAATTCTCTAGCTGAGTGTATCCCCGACAAATCCTACAAAATGAAAAGAGAACAAAAGAGAGAAGATATAAACAACTGAAATTGCAATCTTTGCAGCCTTAATCATCAATCAAAAGCATTAAATAATTCACACTGCATTCAATAATGGAAAAAACACATTGAGCACCTAGGGATTTGGGAAAAAAATAAAAGAAGAAGAAGAAGAAGAAGAAGAAGAAGAAGAAGAAGATATCTTTTCATATATTTGTGTCTAGTTTTATAGGACATACTTCTCCTGGAATACCTAGAGCTCTATCACTTTCAGCACCATAGGCAAGCACAACCTGCTCAATAGCATGTAAGAAGTTAACCAAAACAAATCAAGCATACAATATAAAATGTACAAAAGAAAACCAAAATGAAGTACTGTTAACAAAAAAACATTTTAGAACGTGAAACTCACCACATGATACAACTCGCGGAGCTCAGAAAGAGAGACAGAGGACCCAAGAGTAACATTTCCAAAGAAGGAGCAACGTTGATGTTGTGCAACCTTTGAGAACTGGTTCGTCACAATCTGTTGCAGGTTTTCTGGTAAACTAAAGCTCAATTAAGACAATTATCTTGCACCAAAAAGTTGATAACAAATTTAACTATTCAAAATAAATAAATAAGCAAAACCCGAATTTGCTAGACACAGGTAATCCTGAGCCATAACCATACAATATGGGGACATAAGAAATTTGCAATTGGAAAAACTCACAGTCTCCAAAACATAATCAAAATCTTAAAAGCAATTACATTTCCTCTTCCCCCATTTTCTCACAAAATTTCGGCTTCCAATGGCATATCACCAACTCTATGAATTCAACTAAAACTTCGCAAAATTCTATAAAGAATGAAAAACAAGAACAATAACAGACCTTAGTTTCGGGATGATCAGGTGCAACACCAGACCGGACTAAACCAAAAGGACTGGGCAATCGATCAATGACATCAACTTCAGCCCCTTGATGCGCCTTCAACATCTAATTATAATAACAATAATTGCAATTTAAACACAGAATAGGAATAAATACTTCTAATGTGAATGTAGATAATTAATTAAATAACCTTTTCAGCAGTGTAGAAGCCAGCAGGTCCAGTTCCAACAACGCAGACTCGTAGACGATTAGAAGAGAGAGTTGAGAAGCCCCTTCCTCTTCTTGATAATGATAGTGATATCCGTCTAATTGCTTGATGATATATCGTCATTTCTGGGAATTTCTAAGCCGAAAAGCCTAAAAATATAGGATCTCTAATTATTTAACATGCAACAACCCTAATTCACTCCAAATCCCTCAACTTTAATCTAAGAGATTAAAAATATAAAGAAAAAATAAAAATTCCTTCCAATCTGGTTAGGGTGGCGCCGTGAGGAAGGGCGAGGTCGTGGTCGGAGGCTCAAGGAAAGGGCGAGGAAGACAGAGAGTAGTGAACCTATTCTTCACGGTTTTGTTTTACCGAATTTGTCTCAAAAAGCTTGGGTTAGTAAAAGCGGCCATCATGGGCTGGAAGGAGAATTTTATGGATTCTAATGTTATGGGCCTAGCTAAGTGCTAACTAAATGGGCCACTCAAAAAATAGGCCCATTCCTTAAAAAAAAAAAAATCCGCTGAGCTTTGTTTCGGTTTAATGGCATTTTTGGGATTGCAGCTGATTGAAGCTTATGCTATGGATTTCGTAAATTTTGATATTCAACCATCATGTTTTAAAAAATATTATCAATTTGATTTGAATGTTATTATTGAACAAAAAAATTCTTAAAAAAAATTAATTTTTAACATTTTGAGCTGAAATTTTTCACATGTGCTAATGAAAATTTAATTTAATTTCAAAAATAATTTTAAGAAATTTTGAGATCAAGAAATATTTAAGTGTTAACTATTAAAAAATTTGAAAAAAAATAGAAAATAATTTTAAATGATCCCAAATTTTATTAAGAACCTTAAAACTATCATATAAATTTGTCTACTTAGTCTTATTATGATTTTTAAAATATTTGTATGGTAAAAAATACAATGCCTAACCAAGCTTAAGATAGGTTAATTTTGAGAACAAAATGTGAATATTTTGAGAATTGCACTAAAATTATATGTATAAATCATATGATTTCCGAGGAGCTTCCAAAAACATTTTAGATAATTTCAACTTTTATTTTATTTTTTATAATTTATTGAATGTTTATGGTTAAAAAACACTTTCCAACTTTAAAAAAATTTTGAAATTATTTGTAAAGGTGGATTATATTTTCATTAGCTACTACAAAAATTTTTAGTTAAAAATACTAAAATTTGATTTTTTTGAAATATTTTTTAATCAATACTTACAATCAAATCAAACGAGTGGATAATATACGTCCAAAACATAGTAGTTAACTTTTGATTGGGTTCTTTAAGATTCCCTCAAATATTTTATCGAAATTTGAATTTTTTTTTTTTTTGAACTTGATTTTGTATTTGGTTAATTGTTTCTTGTGTATTTTAATATTTAAGTTCCTTTCAATTTATGTTTTGGGATTATACTCCTCCTTTATTGGATATATTTTATCAAATACACAATAAAGTATTGATTTATACTACTCCTTTATAATATAGTATTTATAACCAAATTAAATTTATAAGGATCATTTAATACATAATTTAAATAATTGTATTGAATTAATTAAATGTTAATGATTTAGTTTAATTAATTGAGATTAGAGCTTCTACCAAAAACTTTGATAAGGCTTTGTTCAAGAACTCTTCTTTTTCACCTCTTCTAGGTAGTCCTTGTAATTGCATTTTCAATACCTTTTCTTGTTACAATGAAAGCGGACCGTATTATTTGGGCTATTCCGAGCCTCGGGCTTTTTCACTCCTCTAGTAGATGTAGTAGAAGACTTCTTCTTTTTTATTGCTTGGGCTTTTTCTTGCCCTTCACCACGTCTTTTTCCTTATTAACAAGAAGTAAAAAACTTTTATTCTTTTTGTTAATTTTAGGTTGAGCTTCCTATAGCATGAACAATAACTCTCAAAGAGTTTTTGTTGTGCATCATGTTAAAGTTCATGATGAATTGTCCAAAGCTATTGGGCAATGATTGCAATACTAGGTTAATGGATAATTTAGCACCCATTCCAACTTCAAGCTTAGTCGACTCGTCAATATAGCCTATCATAGCCTATCATCTCTCATCTATTTTAGCTTTAAAGACCTTCCTTGTTATCTCATAACGCTCATACTTAGTATTTACTTCAAACAAGCTTTTAAGTTTCGTTGTGATATCAAAGGTGTTTGTGTCTTTATGTTGGTGCCTATGCTCCAACGTCATGTCGCCTAACATGATACTTTGAGAAATGATTGCATCATCCCTATGTTTGACCCATGCTACATAAGCTTCGACTTGATATCGAGGAGACTCAATTGGGAGAGATTTCTCTATCATATAGAGAATTTTCTCATGTTGGGGAACTATTCTTATATTCATTTCCTAGTAAAAAAAAGTTTATGCTATTGAAGGTATTACTTTCATCAATGATCGATCGTATTGATATGTTGCTAGTCATACAATGCAATTTGATAGGATAGAGAAACATACGGTTTGGTTAATTGAATTTACGTGAATTAAAAAAAAATTAAAAAAGTAAAATCTATGTTAGCTCCTACTATTTTCTTCAAATTCTATAACCTTCAATATAAGACTCAAGAAAAATTTTTGATTTGTTGTTCTTAGTGGGTTTAGGATCCCATCCTTTAAGATGTACTAACCTTGAGTTATCTCAACAAGTCATACATGAAGGATTAAATAGGTAACTCTTGACCAATTGAATCTAATGTAATTCCTAATCTTATTGGCATGACAAATCTTTATCATCGCACATCTTATGTGAATACCAATCTTTATCTATAAATTTATTAGATCTTGAATTATCTTAACAAACTCAACAACTTGTATTAAGTTGGACCTAAATGTTCAAGAGCGTCACATGACCCATGATTTGATTTCCTTGAGAAAGAAGTGAGCTTAAGTTATCTCAACAAGCCAATAACAACTAAGAGAGTTCTTTCCTCATAACGTTGGAAGACAATTAACTTGACATTTAATTTGAAGGTTTTAATATGGTAGGTCTCATCCTAGCATGCATACTAGTCATCAATAATCCTATCATGCATACTAACAATCACAAAATAAAAGCATACATCTCATGCATAACTCAATGATCGATGAATGATAATGGATCTCTACTACTAGCATCATCGAGTTATAAGAAGACTAGTGGGTCAAGTACCTAAGTGAAAAATTATTATAAATTCTTTGAGATTGTCTTCACTTATTGACTTTTTCTTCTTTCATTTATTCTAATATCCTATCTTCTACTTTTACATTTATTTGAATAAGAAACCTTGAGTTACATTCAAAGAGAGTAAGTCGAGAAAAAAATATAACAGAATGATAGAGAAGGTAGGACACACGAGCTTTATTTAACCAAAAATTATAAGCATTTATTCCCATAAACTAGGTTGACTCATCCATACCATTCACCTATGCTTCAATCATATTGATACATGGTATACTAATGAAACACATTTCATTTTAAGCATAATTATAATCTATGTTTTAGTCATTTTCTAAAATTATTAGAAGTTCTTTAAATTTTAATTTTAAGACTTTTCAAGCTTCGAGCCCATGGGTTTTTAGGCCTCGAGGGCCCATAGGCCGCTATGCTCTAGTTGGCAATGTTGTGCTCTAACTAGCAATGTCTAGCATTGGTCGACAACTGTTATTGACCTAACACACCTACATGCACCTCGCCCCGCGTTAGCAATCGGCCGATGCCTAGCATTGGCCTTGGTCGGCTAATTGGCTAATGCCCCGCATTGGCCGGTAGGGGTGAGCATTCGATTAAACGATTCGGTTAAGCATAATTCGGTTCGGTTTTCGGTTAACCAAAGTAGGAAAAATAAAAACCAAAATCGAACCAAAATTAATTCGGTTAATTCGGTTTGTAACCAAATTATTTCGGTTCGATTTTGAAATAATTCGGTTTAATCGAACTTTTTCATTACTTCTCCATTTCGGACTTTAGACAGCTTCTCCCAAAACTTCTATTTATTTTTTCTTTGCCTAAGCCGAGTAATTAGCAATGTCGAGCTAACAAGTAACTACTTTCTTTTCTAAAAAGAATTCAACACCAAAAAAAAAAATTCACAATTAAAGTCAAATTTAAACACCCAACAATCCAACATGTTTAACATTCATATATCGAAAAGGAAATAAGTCATGCAAAATAATTATTGATGAAACAAAGATCCATATACAATACAATCGACATTAAACAACAAAAGCATAGTAGAATGTCCGTTCTCATTTCTCAACAAAGAGGACGAGACACGAGCTCTCTTCATGTCCTAAAACAAATGATTTACGTGCATTTGCAATACCTTCACTCCTTCGAGATTTGCAATAGAATGAAATCCCAACAAACACTCAATGCTCTTGAAAGAGGATATTAACATGCTACGAAAATCAAAGGCGAGTAGGCCTACCGCCCATCGTCTGTGAGCGGGAGACACCAAGACAAGTAAGCCTACCGCCCACCCGAGTAAGCCTATTCCCGGTGGGCACGAGGCACCGAGGCGATAGGCTACTACCTACTATGGTTCTCTTCTCTAGTTCAATGAAAATGAAAATTTACAATTCTCACTTACCGACTAAACTTTCACAAACAACGTAAATAAAAAATCAAACTTAGAAAGTAGAAACTTAGTAACTTACATATACCATTCATCACGCCAAAACACCATCAAGTCATTAACCCATCAAGATTCAATCATTTGTAATAGAGGTAGTGGCAAGTGGTAACTATGAAAATATAAGATAAAAAAATTAAAATTTTAATATTAATATAAAGGAAAGAAATAACAAATGAAAAGGTAAGAGTTATAGAAATTACCATCTTGCATTTTCTCAACATCTTACAAATTTTCTTTAATAATAATTAGTGTCGATGAATTTTTAATCTAATCTTAAGCACATATAAGAGATTCCACTAAGCTAGGAGTCAAACAACTCCTAAAGTAGTCAAGAACCCTTCCTCCAAGTGCTAAATATCGATTCCGAGGAAACAAGTAGAAACGAGAACCGCCAATATATCCCTAGCCATTTGTGAAAGGATGGGAAACCGAGGAGAATTGGTTTTCCACCATTCTAAAATCTTAAAATCAGCACTCGTTAT